GGTGTTGGTGTCGGCGTGTTGGTGTTGATGATGATGGTGATGATTATGATGGTGACACTGATGATGATGATGATGCTGATGATGCGGATGATGATGATGATGATGATTATGATGATGGTGATGATGATGTTGGCGATGTTTACGATGATGGAGAGGACGATGCTGATGCTGCTCCTGCTGATGATGATGATGCTGATGATGATGCTGATGATGCTGATGATGATGATGATGATGACGATGATGATGATGATTACGCTGCTGCTGATGGCGATGCTGCTGCTGATGATGCTGATGATCCTGACGATCATGATAATGGGGATGATGACGAGTACGATGATGACATGTACGAACTTGATGCGATGATGACGATACTGATGCGGCTGATGCTGATGATGGTGCGGATGATGGTGCGGATGAGGATGAGGATGAGGATGAGGATGAGGATGAGGATGATGATGATGATGATGATGATGATGATGATGATGATGATGATGATGATGAGGATGAGGATGAGGATGAGGATGAGGATGAGGATGATGATGATGATGATGATGATGATGATGATGATGATGATGATGATGATGATGCAGCTGCTTATGATGATGGTGATGATGATGACGGCGGTGATTCTGATGCTGCGAATGTTGACGATTATGCTGCTGGTGATGATACTGATTGTACAAACGATGATGATGACGATGCTGCTGCTGATGATGATGCTGATGGTGCTGATGCTGATTAGGACGAGGAGGATGAGGAGGATGAGGAGAGAGATGGAGGAGGAGGCCAGAGGAGGAGGGGGTGGAATATGGAGGAGGAGGAGGAGGAGAAGGAGGAGGAGGAGGAGGAGGAGGAGGAGGTAGAGGAGGAGGAGGAGGCGGAAGAGGTGGAGAAGGAGGAGGTGGTAGAACAAACCTTTCCGACTGGGTGAGGAGCGCAGCAGCATCAGTTAGCCCAGCAGTTGTCGGTTACCGACGCTGTTTGGCTCACGTACCTTTGCGGAGCTCGCACCACGCCCGCCTACCAGAAAGCATCGCCAATACCATTCGATCGTTCTCGTGCAAGTGCTGCTCACGAATTTGCATGACGGCGGAGCCAGGTTAATGACAGCTGCAGCGGCAGCGGAAGGGGCACCCGCTCATCCCATAGACCCACCTCCGGAGTGAAACACCTCAAGATCCAGACCAATGGTTCAACCTAAACCCGGCGAGGTTCAGTGAATTATGTGAGGTGGCCTACAATGGAGGGGACTACAGCTACCGAAGAACAAAAACGCCATAAACGTAAACTTTTGGCGCTCCGCGCGGATTTCTCAGAGATCCGCGCTGGCCCCCCCCCCCCGGCGGCGCCTCTGGCGCCGCGCCTGGTGCGCTCCGCGCGCCAGGGAAGCAGGGAGGGGGTGTCCAGCGCAGATCCAAGAACTCTGCGCGCAGTGCCAACAGTTTATGTTTGTGGCGTGTTTTCTCATTCTAAGTGATGTTTAGTGGCGCTGGAGGCTAACCATGAGGGGATACAGGAGTTCATTGAGAGGCAAATCGCCGATTGAGCGAGGACTGTGTCACCAACCAGGATTGATACAGGCTGCTACTAATGGCTCAGAAAATGAAAGCCCGTTCCTGAGCATCGTGAGCCACAATGCGTGCGCGGAAGGGGAATCAACAAAACCCCAGTGAAAAATCGAGAACTTCGAGAACCAAACGGACGTCCAGAAGCACAATTGAGCAGGTTGAACAAATAGCCAAATCCATCGTTCAAGGCAAGAGCAAATCAGAAGGACACCAGAAGTCAGTCAGTGAATACAAGGCCACGCAGCAGCTACGATGGACGCCAGTCCACAAGAAACCTTCCACAAGAAACCCAATCTTGCTAACCCAGGACGTCCATTGCTTTTTGTTTGGGAGTGTCACTCTTTCCATAGCAACACCATCGAAGCCTAAGAAACCTAACGCACCCTGGAGGCAAGCAGGGTGTTTGTTGGCATGGGTGGAACGAGAAATTGTTGAACGCGCTGGCCCAAGTAAACCCGCAGTACCGAAGAGCGCGAAGCATCTCGGCGACAAGCTAGAAGCCATGAGCGGGACACTGCAGGATGACGACGACGACGACATGCTCGGAATTCTCAATGGCAGGTTAACCGCGTCCGAATACGCCAAGGGCCAGCTGGTGAAACAACTGGAGGATGACGACAAAGGGGAGCTCGACATAACCGAGAGGATATTACGCGAACTCAGCGAGGAAATATGGGACTCACTAGATGACAAGCTGGAAGGATTTGGTGCCAGGGGAAATCTTAAAAAGGGTTCAGAGAAGGTGACGGCTTAGCAGCCTGCCAGAATATCTACAAGGGGTGCTCCGCGGTTACCGGGGTGATTCTGTCAGCCAATGCGAGCCGGGCCATGGACGTGGACGAGCCCGAGGCTGCGCCTGTGTTGCCGCCGAAGGAGATCGGGCCACTCCCGTCGTCAGTTGACGCTGGACCGCCGCCCAAATCCACGTCCAAGGAGACCGGGGCGCGACCCGCGTTGGAGACGTGGTCCAAATCATCGGGGCCAGGGTTGGCCAGCGCGCCCGCGTCCGAGCCGGGGCCGAGAGGCGCCGCCTGCGGTTGGATTGGCCGAGACTGTGGAGGTCGAGCGAGCCTAGGCGTGATTGGTCTGTTAACAAGATCCCGAGCGAGCTCCGGACTCGCCCCGCAGTCGACCGCCCGATGAGGCCATAGTTAGCCGCCCCTAGCCAGAGGCCGCGGCGGATGGGCAGCTGGAGGCGCCAGCGCCATCCGGGGCGGCTCGGCCGCCAGCGGGCCCCCAAGGGCTCGAGGTATTCGGTCGTCATCGCGCGCGCATCCATGTGGGCCGGCGCAGGGGGCCTCTCGTGTGCGCGCGTAGAGTGGAAGAGCCAGATGGCGAAGGGTTTGATCCCAACTTTTATTCTTGCTCCAAACGGCATCAAATGATTCACGGCGGCGGTGCGCAACGCTTGGTGGAATTATTTCGACGCGTGGATGAACGGCAATGTCGAGCGGGAGTCAAAGGATGTAACCGGCCAGGTTATCCGCGGCGACGGCGTCGACTACCGCCCCAGTTTCTTATGCCACCATGGGGGTGTGTCAGCCGCTCTAATTGTCTCAGTCGGCCGGGCAGCCCGCCTGGAGGAGCAAGTGTTCCGTGCGCGGGCGCGCCGAGCGCGAGTAGTGGTTATAGCGGACCAGACGCTTGCAGTTCAGATTGCCTCGCAACTTCCGGTCTCCGTCAGGCCCGCATCAGCTCGATCCTTAAGTTGTTGAGTTAAGGGGCGGTAGCCGCAGTCCGCGCCAGGGCGCGCCCAAAACGCGAGCGTTCGTTCGGGCTTGCCCCGACGTGCAAAAGGACGAACTATGAGACCTGTTCGGCGCGTTATTCGGGCAGCCGTGGGCGGGCAACCCCGTGATGTTCCGAGCCACAGTTTTCAATGAGGAAACGCACAGTAATCAGGGTGAAGTTAGCGCAGGGACACTTACCGCGCGTTTCGCCACTGAGGAGTTGGCGGGTGTCTGCTGTGAGCTCGCGGGCGGCACTGTTACCTTCTGCGAGCAGTGCGGGGTTGTTGAGGGGGTAGGCCTGGGCGAGTTGAGGACGCCGATGTTATCGCCGAGGGCTTGCTGGTATTAGACCAACTTAAAAGCTCCGTATGAGACAAGCGCTGGGTGATCGTCGACCGTGCCTCTCTATTTCGTTGCGTGCGTCGCAGGTCCAAACGCCGCCAGGAAGCGGCGTGCTGCCAAACGTGTTTACCCAGCCTTGGACTTCCAGTTATGGGCCAGGGAAGGCTGACGGATGGCCGATCCCAACAGTGGCAGATCGTTTGACAGGCCAGGTGAAGTTAACCCTGCATTTCCCTTTTACCTTCGCGAACTATACTGCCGCTTCTGGGAAGCCAGAACAGGTTCGACAACATTGCCAATCGCAGTGTTCAACGCATCGGGAACGATGACTTCGTATGCTGGGTAGATTTTAGCGAGCACAACGCTGCGGACGGATCTGGTCAGTTGTCAGTTCTGCGACGCCATCGATGAGGCCAACCGTTATCCAGTGCTTCATTCGGGCTACTCTCCGGAGACAGGCGGTTGCCGCGGCGGCAAGGCAGCCGCGCGGGCCACGTGCATTCGTCGTCACCACCGGCGTTAGGTAATGAGCTGTTTTTCTTTTCCTTCTCCTTCTATGTATTGCCACTCGGTATGATGGGTGTTATCATGTGGAACAAATTACGCATTTTGCTGCACATCAACAAACGCATCGCGCGTTATGAGGCCCCTGCGCGTTTGCGCCATAATCCATGGCCGCTTTTTGCCTGTTCAATTTTGCTTGTTCGCCGGCACTGCCATTGTACTTACTCCCTTGGGTAGGAGACTCAGCAGAGTTCTGCGCTATACATGTTACTTCCTTTTATTCAGCTGACCTTCTTTATGTTCGGCGCCCGTCGCTCTCATTGACCACGAGGGCCCGGAAAAGGGGGTGTTAGAACATATGTTTGCGATTGGGTGAGGAACGCAGAAGCATCAGTTAGCCCAGCAATTGTCGGTTACCGACGTTGTCTTGCTCAAAAGTACCATTTGCAGAGCTCGCACCAAGCCCGCCTACAAAAAGGCATGTCCATCCCCATTAGATCGTTCGCATTTCAAGAGTTTGCAGGAGGAGGAGGAAGAGGAAGAGGAGGAGGAGGAGGAGGAAGAGGAGGAGGAGGAGGAGCAGGAGGAGGAGGAGGAGGAGGAGGAGGAGGAGGAGGAGGAGGAGGAGGAGGAGGAGAGGGAGGAGGAGGAGGAGGAGGAGGAGGAAAGTCCAGAGGAGGGGGGGAGGAGAAGGAAGAGGTGGGGAGGGCAAAGTAGGTTCGCTCGCGTCATACCTGACGTCGACTCTTCCCTCCCATCCCTTACTATGGCGTAGATATTCTCTCTATTCGCACAGTCGGATGTCGAGCAGGGCGATGATCGCGAGAGGGTGCGCGATACATGGTAGAGCACGGCATGGCATGGTGCAGAAGAGCACGGCAGAGCGTAGCATGTCATAGCAAGTGTGACATTGCGCAGTGAAGCGTTGCATCACAACACGTTGCAGTGCAAACCATGGCATCGCACAGCGGCGCAGAACACAACACCGCACAACATGTCATGTAAATGGCTCGTCATCGAGAGGTCTGGGCCGGTCTTGAGTCGTGGCTCCATGTCTAGTTCCCTGGGCTCTTCGAAGAGCTCCACACAAGGCGGGGTTGATGGAGAACACTCGGTGGATCTGCTTTCAACATCGCTTTCTCAAAGCAGAACCCGGGGTTCCCGCTTGATATTTCGTGAAAACGACGACGACAGGGCGCCTGAGGCCCTCTAAAAAACGAACGAGCACCGAGTGTGTAATCACATCTGATGGTTTTCTTGAGGGGCATTTTCCAGATTTGGGGGCCTATTTGGAATGACCGGAAACGCCCGCGCTGCAGCCTGAGCACTGGTTGGGACAACTAGAGGCACAGAACAGGGGCCACCGCTTCAACGGGAGCAGCGTTTTGAACAACAGACCCAAACGAAGCTTATTTCCAGGGAATCCTGTGTGAACAACAGTGCGCGGAGGGGGGCCAGATAGCTATCGGACGCCCTCAGGGGAGGGGAGATTCGTATTCATATCGTGCAATTGTAGAGGAGCAGCCCATGGGAGGAGGGAAGGGTGGGAGGACGGGGTATGCAAGGGCGCCCTCGACGGCGCGAAGTCATTCGCGCTTCGCGCTTCGGCTCCGATTTCTCCTCATCCTCCTCTTCTCCCCTGTGAGGCGGCCCGAGGGCGCGAAGTTGTTCGCACTTCGCCCTTCGCGCAGCGCGAAGCGCGAAGTGGGGAACCCTTGGGTATGGCGGTCCCGAGGTGGTTTCATGGGCGAGTCGACCGCGACCGCCTACATCGGCAGCGGGCCCGTGCAGGCGTGCGGCTTTCCCCGGGCCGCCGCGCGCGGCCAGCGCGCTCCGTCTCGGAGTTTGCGGCGCTGGTCGACTCTTCTGTTTGTGGTGTGATGCTCCAACCTGCTTCTAGCCTTGACCACCAGGAAGAATTTCGAGCGCACCCCAAAACTCGAGGGTTCTGGCGTGTCGGGCCCTGGGAGGCACTGTTTCCACGCTCTCTCGACACTCTCTCGACACTCTTCTGGGAGCTCGAAACTCTTTCTGGGATGTGGTCCTCACGCACGATGGGGGGCAGCATCGTGTCTGTGTGGAGGCGTGGCCTCCTCGGAGGGCGGCGGGGCTTCTCAGGAGAAGGCCCTCCGCGCCCTCGGAGAGGTCGGCGGCGGCCTCGGAGCAGGCCCGGAGGGGCGTCCGAGGAGGCTGGCCGGTGTTGGGCCTCGGGGGGGCGAGGCCGAAGGGGCACGGTTCGGGGGCCACGTGCGAACCCAGAGGAGGAGGAGGAGGAGGAGGAGGAGGAGGAGGAGGAGGAGGAGGAGGAGGAGGAGGAGGAGGAGGAGGAGGAGGAGGAGGAGGAGGAGGGTGGGGTTCACCTCATTCGGGAGCTCCCGAGCGAAGGGAACCCCACCCTCCCCGTCAGAAATCGTGGGGGGTAGGGGCAGGGTTCGCACGACGTGGCCCCCTAACGGAGTCGCCCACCCGGGAAATCAGTTTCGGACTCGGCTCGTGTCGCGCGTGCAGGCGCGGCGGGGCAGCGCGAGCTCCTCGCCGCGGTCCGGCTTCCAGGGCGTGTGCGGGGGGCCGGTCCCGCGTCTGTCCCGTGGCTGTCCCGACGGTTGTCGGGGCGTGCGCGGGGCTGTCTCGAGGTTGTCCCGTGGGTGTCGGGCGGTTGTCTGCAGCTGTCCCGTGGTTGACCCGTGGTTGTCCCGTGGGCGTCCCGTGGTTGTCCCATGGTTGTCCCGCGGTTGTCCCGCGGTTGTCCTGAATTTGTCCCGTGGTTGTCCCAAGGTTGCCCCGTGGCTGTCCCATGGTTGTCCCGCTGTTGTCCTGTAATGGGCACATTTGTGGGTTCGTAGTTCGATAGGTAGACCTGTAGATGCATAATGATATTGCTACGTAGGTTGGCAGTGAGTTCGGTCAGACCATGAGGCCGTTAGATAGCGAGACCGATCGAAGGATTGCCAGGGAGATCGGTAGATAGGTAGCCAGGCCAATAGATCGTGATGTCGACCAGTCTCTTCATAGTGATTTCGGTAGTGTGATAGTGAAGCCGACAGATCCCGTGGTTGTCCTGTGGTCGTCCTGTGTTCACCCCGTGATTGTCCCACGGCTCTCCCGTGGTCCGAGCACCCAAAAAGCAATCAAGAAGCCGGTGCTATGGGACCCCTCTTGCATCCCTCCTTCTTCCTTCTCCTCGTCCACCTGCTCCACCTCTGCTGTTTCTCCCCGCCTCTCCTCCGCGATCTCCTTCTCCTTCTCTCCTCTTCCCCGCCGCCCTCCTCGTCCTTGTAGCCCGTGAGCGACTGCGATCTTGCGGTCCTGATTCGCACGCGCTGAGGAGACCTGGGAAAACCTCACACACTCCCCATAGGGCCATCCTTTGAGACCTGGTGGGAGCTTGCGCTGGGTGAGCTCATCACTTGCTTTCTGACCTGCACTCGGGCTTTGCAGGAGGGGCCTGCAGGCCTGTTTGAACCTACCAGGCGGCCCGGACACGCCAGGACCCACGACTCCTCGGACACCACGGCCCCCCCCCCCCGACGGACCGCCATGTGGGGCCGATGCGTGGTGATGGGTTTGTTTTTCACCACCACCACTAGATGTTGGAGGGGGAGGGGGTCCTCCTCCTCCTCCTCCTCTTCCTCCTCCTCCTCCACCTCCTCCTCCTCTTCCTCCTCCTCCTCCTCCTCCTCCTCCTCTTCGGCCTCCTCCTCCTCGTCCTCCACGTCCTCCGCCTCTCCAGCTTGTGGTGGTGGTGGACAACAGGCGCGGGGTCGGGCCCCCGACCTGAGCAGCACCGCCCACGAGCACTCAGACCCTGCGTTGCCTCCTCCGCCGCTGCCCCGCTCCCCCCCCCTCCCGAGCGGTGACGCCCGCCCCTGCGGCCGCGGCCCGGGGAGCCGCACCCGTGCGCGGACGCCCGGGAGCCGCCTGCCGGCTCGGCCTCGCCGCGAGCCCGGCGCGCGCACCTGCCGCGTCGAGGGCGCTCGCCTGTGAGCACGGGCCGGCGGGAGGTGCTGCGGAGGAGGTCGGAGCTTAAGAGACGGGGGTCAATGCAGACGGGGGTCAGCCAGGGCAGCGGATCCTGCAGGATCCTGCGAAGACCCCCTCTGGCTGACCCGGGTTAGCGAGCCGCTCGTGGCCGCGATGCGGCCGCGCATATTGGTTGACCCGGGTTTGCGAGGCTCTGCGTTGCAGTTTTTGTTTTCTGCAGTGCAGTTTTTTAGTTTCCTGCTGACCCGGGTCTGGATTGACCCGGGTTAGGAGATCCCCGAGGAGGTGGTGGAGAGCATCCTCTCGTCGCTCCTTGCGCTGGGCCCTCGGGGCCTCGGCCGGGGGGCATCTGGTCCGGGAGAGGAGCCCATCGACGCATCAGGACGGCCCCCATGGCCGTCCCCGACGCTGCTCTGCCAGCACATCCACGGCCATGACAGGCTGGGACACGTCTCTGGGTAATTGAAATTGCTGCTGCTGATCCTGCCCACCTATCTAGAGATCGTTGGTCTGGGCTGTCCACGCGAGGTACTGGTCTGCCTCCTCTTTGAGACGGGACTCTGCCTCGAAGTACACCACCTTGCCTGGCCGATGTTCCAGGGCCGGCCAGCACTCTTGTCGAAGCCTACGGTTTACTGTCTGTCACCTACGGGACCTTTTGCTATGCCCTCTGACTAGATACAACGAGTCTGCGCGTAGGAGCTTGGTGGTTCCTTCGAGCTCAGCTCTATTTATACGCAGCCGGTTCACCTATTCTTCACGTTTCGCGTATCTCCACCATCCTCGGTCATATCGCCCTCTGGACTTCTCCTTGCGGGCCGCGAATCAAAAAAAGAATATCCACCATCCCGTTCAGAAACGTTGCCCATGATAGCCCACGGGAAACAAGAGACGACGAGACACATTTAGTGACAGGACGAGACACATTTAATGACACTGGCAACCAGGATGACCAGAGAGATTTCATGGAGCAAGTGGATGGCTTTGGAGGGCCTCTTCGGGCCATCCCTGGGGCCCGCGGGGGAGGAGGAGAAGTAGAAGGAGGCGGAGGAGGAGTTGGAGGAGGAAGAGGAGGAGGAGGACGAGGAGGAGGAGGAGGAGGAGGAGGAGGAGGAGGCACATCGCCTCTTGGGGCCCTCGTGGCACGCTCTTGGGCGCTCTCGGGGCCGTCTTGCGGCAGTCTTGGGGCCCTCTGTGGCTCTCTTGGGGCTTTCTTGCGGCCCTCTTTGGGAGCCCTGAAGGCCTCTTGGGGCAATCGTGGAGGGCGTCGGTGAAAAGAGATGGATCCTAACATTTGGTTCCGGGCCGTCTTGGGGCAGTCTTGGGCCCCTCTTAGGGCCATCTTGAGGCCTCACACGCGCATCGGACGCGAAACATCGAGAAGGTAAACATCATTAATTTACCCTTGGTGTTTGATGGAATGTGGCCTCTCGGGGGTTGTCTTGAGGGAGCTCCTAGAGCACTTGGAACCGTCTTGTGGCTTTCGTCGGGCCTCTCGGAGGTCTGTTTGGAGCTACCTTGAACCATCTCCGCGTCTGCCTCGACCCCCTGACACATCGCGAACCCCCCAAAACCTGAGGGAGGGGAGCGGGATGGTATTTTTCCCGAAGGGAGAGGATTTTTGAAAGGGGCAAGAAGGAATTCGTTGGACCACCTTAGCGCAAAGGGCTGGTGGGACTACATTACCAGAGATAGTGCCTAGCCTAATTATGACGCTCTTTAGTCCACACCGCCGCATCTGGCTCAACTCTCCTGAGGCGGGGGTCCTGGGAAAATCGCTACGACAGCTGGTCGCCCTGAGTTTGGCTGGTGCCCTCGTGCGAGACGAAGCGCAAGATGGCAAACGCACTGGCCAGGTGGGCATCCAGGGACGGGCCAACGCCCCATGCACCACGAGGCGCACATGCATCCGCGTCTGCCTATCCCAGAATCCCTGAGGGCTCCCAGACACCCCCGTATACGCTGAGGCGGCGCCATGTGGCAGCAGACAATGACAAATCAAATCGTGCAACACTTTTTTCCGCTCAGTTCCCGATGCGCACGATCGTCTGTCAAGGCTCTGCCGCGTCGCTCGACTCAGAGTGGTCGACTAAGCACTCCGCGGCCGTCATAGCGCCGCGGCTCTGGGCGCTCGCACAGCCGAGCCGCTGCCACTCCACGCCGGCCGCCACTGCAGAGCAGGAGCCGTCGGCCTGCCGGCTCGCGGCGCCCATGCTGAGCACGGCCAGCGCTTCGGCGTACCGCGCGTCTGCGGTCACCGCCGCCGCGGCTGCCCTGTCCAGCATCCGCGGCGACCGTGGGGCGTCGGCTCGCCGCTTGGCTCGCCAGCGTTCCGAGCCAGCCGCGCGGGCCTGCCTTGTCCAGGCAGGGACCCGTCCCCCCCCCCTCCTCCCCCCCCTCCCCTCCCCCCTTCCCCTTCCCTCCCCTCCCCTCCCCCTCCTCCTCCTCCTCCTCCTCCTCCTCCTCCTCCTCCTCCTCCTCCTCCTCCTCCTCCTCCTCCTCCTCCTCCCCTGTTCAGGGGCTGCGGATGCGCCAAGACGTCAGTTGGGATAAACTGCCTCCCAGCGCCGCCTCTCTGTGACGGCTCGCCGGGCCCTCGGGCGGCCCGCCCGAGATTTTGAGGTGAGTTTCGTGCTGATTTTTTGGGCCAGGAATGAAGACCAAAGATAATCCACGCGAAATTCACTTCGTTTTTCGCTCGCCGTGTCGGGCAAACATCCACGCAGAAATCCGCTGCAGCACGTCTGCAAGACCAGTGCAATGATATCTGGGCAGGGGTCCGTTCCTCATCCAGGAGCAGCGGCGGCTTCGGGTTTGCCTTATCCAGGCAGGGACTCGGGGAGCCGAGCGTTGCCGCTTGGGTTTTTGTTCTTCAGGCACCATCATTCTAAACCTACCCATCACCCTCCTCAGCATCAGCATCAGCATCAGCATCAGCATCAGCATCAGCATCAGCATCAGCAGCAGCAGCAGCAGCATCATCATCATCATCATCATCATCATCATCATCATCATCATCAGCATCATCATCATCGTCATCATCATCATCATCATCATCATCATCATCATCAGCATCATCATCATCATCATTATTATCATTATCATCATCATCAGCATCATCATCATCACATCATCATCATCCTCGTCGTCGTCATCATCATCATCCTCGTCGTCATCATCGTCATCATCATGTCCTCTGCCCCTTGCTTCTCCCTGATCCTCCTCTCTTCTACTTCTCCTCTCGTCTCATAGTTCATCCGTCTTCTCTTGCTGCTGATCCTCTGCCTCCTCCCCCTCCTCCCCATGTTAAATTTCCAGGGCTCCTGCTTCTCCTTTCGTCTTCGCCTCTTGTCCCTCCTCCTCATCCACCTCCTCTGGCCTCCTCCTCTTCCTCACCTGGCCCTCTTTCCCCCTCGATCCTCCTCTCCTCCTCCTCTCTTTCTCTCCGCCTCCTCCTCTTTCTCCTCCTTGCCGACCGTCCCCTCTGAAGAATCGCCCCCCAGACCTCTTCCGGGGTGCGAATGGACTCGGATTGCAGAGCGGGCCCAGGGCGACGAGGCGCCGCCGGGAGGCCCGAGCACTTCGAGAGGCGCCCCCTGGATCCTCGAACCTCTACCCCCGATCTTCGATCTTCGAGCCTCGATCCTCGCGCCTCTCCTCGGTCCTGAGGCCTGAGCTTCGGTGCTCGGTCCACGATCCTGGATCCTCGTGGGGCTTCTGGAGCCGGCGGCGGGGGGAGGGGGGAGGGGGGGGAGGGGGGAGGGGGGAGGGGAGGGGCAGGGGCAGTTGGAGCGGGAGTGGAAGGGGGGATGGGGGAAGAGGGGGAGGAGGGGGACTCCGCGCGCGCGCGCCGTGGCGGCGGCTGCGGCGCCCAGGCTGCCGACGCGGAGGCCCCAGCGTTCCAGCCGACGATGGACGTGTGCATCCTGACCGGCATGGTCATGAGGGCGCGCCCCTTCGGACGGGGTTGGGATCGGGAGCGGCCAAGAGGAAGGTGATGCCTGGGGGGGGGGAGACATCATGGCGGGGGCCATGCTAGCTCCCCAGATTTCATGGCGCCTCTTCTTATTATAATGCGTCCCCAGCCCCCCCCCTGGGCCGCGAACGTGCCGCTGGCCATGATCTGCGCCCCCCCGTCTTGGACGCCCCTGTCTTGGACTCCCCCAGTAGGGCGAGGATAAATCCTTTCCAGAGCGTTCCAGAACTCTCTCATAGTGTTCCGGAACGTTGTAAGGTCTGTGCCGCCCCAGACATCTTCTGTAAACCGCCGCAGTGGACCAGGAGTGATGACGGTGATGACACCGATGATGATGACGATGACTATGCCGACGACGACGCCGACGACGACCAACAAGATGCTGATGATGCGGATGAT